TGCGCAGAGCAGCGGGGCCGAGCGCGGAGGTTGCGCGGCCGCTCCAGGAATAGCGCGTGGCCGGGGGCCAACCGCGCGGCTCCCGGCGGCAGATTTACGAGCTCTGTCCCCACGCCAAACGCGCCGCGGTAGTAAACACAGGGGAAGGGCCGCGCTGGGGGCACAGGGGGCTGCCCCGCACCCCGACGCAGCGCTACCGGGATCCCCGCTCCGTGAGCGGCTGCGCTCCGCGCGGACCTCCCCGCGGTTTTGTTATTACGATCACGATTCTGAGCCCTGAGCGCTACACTCAGAGTCGCTTCACGCACTTTTTCCCCCCCCGTTCCCAAACGTCGTTCTTATTTTGAGCGCTGCGTGCTATTTTCAGAGCCGCTTCACGCACTTTCCCCCCCCTTCTCTCCCGTTCCCAAGCGTCGCACCGCGCTTTATTCACAGCCGCCCCGGTTCCCCGTCGAAGCCAACGCGGTTCCTCCGCCCCGAGGCCGGCGGGAGGGAGAGGACGTGCGGCGGTCGGGCCGGGCCTCCCCGCGGGCTCCCCCCTTCCCTGGGCCGGGAAATGCCGCAACTCTCCTCCATCAGCGCCCGCTCCTCGCCCGGGGCTTGACAGATCGCGGCGCGGCCCCGCCACAGGTTGCAAAAAACGCAGCCGCATCGGGGACGGAATAACAACAATCGGAACGCGGGGAGAACGCAATCATCATAGTAATAAAAATATAAAAGCAAAAGGGAATGGAAACCATGCGGAAAAGGCCCCGAGAGGAGGCTGCGGGGCGGCTTCGCGCGGTGGAAAAGAACGACAGCGCGGGGGGAGAGAAAGAGAAAGAGAGGAGAAAGGGAAATAAAAATGAGGAGAATAAAAATATAAAGCACGGCCCGAGAGAGGGAAGCGGCCCCGGGAGCGCAAAGCGGCCCCGAGCCGAACGGGCTGCGGGAGCGGCTCCGCGCTGCGCCCGCCCGAAGGCTGCAGGTGCGGGGCGGCCGCGCTGCCGGCGCTGCGGGGACGGAGCGGCGGTGCGGGACAGCGCGGTGCGGACACGGCCTCGGGAAGCACGGGGCAGCGCTTCTCCCGCGTCGTGGGTAGAGGGGAGCGCCGGGGGTCGGTTAGTTAATTAGGGCCGCTCCGAAAGAACGGAGCGAGTGGTAAAAAAAAAAAAAAGGAGAGCGGGGGAAGGATGGAAGGATGGAGATTGTTTGGGTTCTTTGGGTTTTTGTTGTTGGTTTTTTTTTGTTTTTTTTTTAATATATCCGAGCGCCGTCGGGGCACCTGCCGCGGGAACGGGGGGGAATGGGAAGAAATATATAGGGGCGGCTCAGCGCCAGGAGCGGAGGGAGAGAGGAGGGAGAGAGAGGAGGGAAAAAAAAGAGAGAAAAAAAAAAAAAAAAAGAGAGAGAGAGAGAGAGAGAGAGAGAGAGAGAGAGAATTAAAGGGTAAAATCGGCCGCGGCAATAGAAGCAGCAATCACCTGGTCTCCGGGCTTTCCTAGAAACTCCTTGCATCACCACTTCTAAGAACCCCAGTTCTAAGAATCAACAGAGCCCAATTCTCGGAATTTGAGCTGCAGACTCTACCACCGCCACCAGCGCGGGGAGGGACGAGGACCTCCCCTACCGCGCTTCCGCCGTCACCGCCGCGCCCCCGCGCCCCGACGGCGCCTCGCCAAGCTCCTCTCGGGCTCAGCGCGGGGGGTTCCGCCGGGCCTTGAGGGCGGCGGCGGCTGAGAGACCCCCGCTGCTCCGCGCTCCCCTCCGCGCCCCCCCCTTTTTCCGCGCCCCGAGTGGTCGCGCCCGGCCCGCGGGTCACGTGGCGGCGGGTGGCGGTGTGACGTGGGGGCGCGGCGGGGTGGCGGCGCGCGGGCGCGGAGCGGCGCGCGGCGGCGCGGAGCGGCGCGGTTCGGGGGGTCCCGGGGCGCGGAGCGGAGCGGTGCGGAACGGAGCCCCCAAAGCGCGGCACGGGGCGAGAGCTGCGAGAAGCGCTGCTGCTTTCTTTCGTGACGAGAAATGGTTTTTAATTGTCGTTTTCTTGCTTTTTTTGGGGGTCGCTTTCGCATTGAGCGAGTCGCCCTCCCCCCCTAAGACTGAAGCCAGCATCCTGCTGCATGGCACCGGATTTTATATTTTTCTTTATTTTTCATATTTTTTCATAATTTTTCCCTCCATCACTTCTTTCCTTTTAGCTGATTTTTGGTAACCCATCCATCTGCTCGTGGGATCCGCTTTGGGGAACGGAGCTTTTTCCATCCGGACACCCCTGTGCGCTCCATATCCCTTTTTTCTCCCCTCTCAGAATCATTTAATCATTTTTCTTATCTTTTATATATCTCTATATAT